TGGATAATGACTCCACTTTTTACCCATTCATTAGGAAACCGGCTAAGTATAGTGAGATTACCGTTCATCGCTGGTTTAATTTCGTTTTTGTTTTTAATTTGCACTCAAAAGTGCTCCAGAAACAACTGGATGTCGACTAAAATTTGGAAAGCTTACGTTTATTGAACGGATGTTAGCTCAGTGTCATTCAACTGAATTTGTCCCTGTACTTGAACGACTGAATTACTCCTCTTACTTTTGATGACGATGGGGACTATTGAACCCAAAGAATCACCACTTTTATTTTTAATTGAAACTCGCCTATACGAAAATAGACAAGCAGAGTGGAAAATGTTAACGATTTTTTTAACAAAGCAAGGGAAAGACGGGAAGCGGTGACTGGGGGAGAGTTTCGTCTCGCCCTTTTGTTGTGTTCCCTGCTCGCGAACACGTGGCAGCCAGTCAATCAGTCCGTAAGTCCTTCCTTCCGTCCATCCGTCCCTCAGTCCGTTAGACAGTCATGTAGTCAGTCAGTCAGTCAAANCGCGAACACGTGGCAGCCAGTCAATCAGTCCGTAAGTCCTTCCTTCCGTCCATCCGTCCCTCAGTCCGTTAGACAGTCATGTAGTCAGTCAGTCAGTCAAATAAATAATTGATTAGAAATTTGTCTATTTACGTGATGCTTGGGAAAGACGCTGTACATATATCATCGTCATCAAGTTGAATTTGATTTAATATGAAATTTATTTGAAAGGGACATAATCCTTCGTCTAAAAATATTTCAGTGTGGTGCTTCGCTTCTGAAGGAAATTGTCATTATTCTCACACGTGGAACAGCGTTATGAAAATGTTGAGTGATTTTCGTTTGACCTTGGAAAACGGCTTCCAGAGGTGTTGGCAATTAGTTTTATCCGCCACTAGCTTTAAAACTCAGAACGGTTTACAGCCAGAGAACTCCCTCATATGGAACAGAGATTGTTTTATTGTCCAACCGTATTGCTTAAGACAGTGACGTCGCTTGATTTGTAGAGAGTTGTCGCGAACCTGATGGAACGCGTAGCGTGTTCTCTAAACCTACCAAAAGAAGGTGAGCGGTTTGTGTCTGTTCGCTAAAGCAATCAAACTAATGCTATTTTCCAGTACGTTTTTGTTACGGTTCTGTTGGGGAGTAATCATTTCAAGGTCAAAAAAAAGAAAAAAAAAAGGAAAAAATCGCTCAACTGCAACGAAGCATATACACTTAACTGTTTTTAGTTTTCTTATTCGTACATTTCAGTGAAGAGTGTAAAGCCGTGCTCATGAGATTATATGGAGGTTGGCTGGAATCCAACCTTGTCCTTGGATTAAGGGGATATTTTGACAATCGCAAAGAAATTAATATTGTACTCGTTGCTAAAAACTGGGATAAAATTGCGTATTGTTTTTAGGATATAAAAGTGGTCAAACAGTTTGAATTTCTGTTAGCTTTTTTGTGTGTGGGGAAAGGTATACCTTTTTTTTCACAGTAACTTTTACATATTGAAACAAGCAGAAAGTGTCATGCAACTGTACTGAGTTTGTTTCGCTAGCTTTGCTAAAAGACTGATTTAAATAAAGAAATAAAACTAAGTTGATGTGTAC